AAGCCCTCCGCCAGCAAAAAGATTACCATTCATTTTATTGCAATGGTCTGGAACAGAACTGAAATAGCTCCGAGATACATCTATCTATATCTATATCTATATCTATATCTATATCTATATCTATATCTATATCTGTATCTATATCTATGTGTGTGTGTGTATCTATGGATATGTGTGTGTGTGTATACATTTACATATATACATATATATAATTCGTTCTGTTTCTCTGGAGAACCCCAACTCATACACCTGGTAAAGCTGAGAACAAAACAATTCTCATTCTTCGTGAAAGTCCACGGTGATTGCATTTCTGGAAAATTCCATATATACCAAAAATATGTTTTAAAAAATGATTTCTTTATGTAAAATAGAATTCGTTTCTAGGCTAAGTCATAAACAGTTTTTTCAGTCTACATTAATTACTCAGCAAGATATTACAAAGTTGTGCAGATTACAGGAAAAGTTCTCACTTTGCGGAACTGTCACTTCGTTGTGTCTACAGTTCCACTGCCCTGACCTGTTAAATGCCAACAGCATCTTCCAACTACTGAGACAACCAAAAAAGCTTCCACAATTTTCTAAAAACAATCCCTTTTAAGGGAAAAAATCCTCAAAAACTATAATCCTATAATTTGCCAATAGATCTTGCTCCCCTCCCCCGTCTCACTGCCAGGTTAAGGAGAAACTGCTGGCCTAGGCCCTCCCTAGAAACCTCCTAAAGTGCCCTTAGCATGGGAGAGATTACAGAGTGAAGGGAAAAACCAGCACAGTTCACAGCATTTCAAGTGCCTAAACGATGAAAAAAGAGGTGTGGCGAAATTTACAACTATCCCTTTCCCACCCTGCTCCAATGTGCCATGTCAGCACCCACCATGGTCTCTAGTTCAGTGAAGTTAAGGTTTGAGGGGGAATGAAAAGTAGCTCTCCTCACAGTAACAGTATGGATCCTATCTCTCTACGCTAAGAATAATTTCAAACTATAATCCATCAAGTATGTCACATGTATTTTTCAAATAATATTTCTTAAAAACATCAAACTATGGACTGCTCCCAAAGTAGGGAAAGGCACTAAAGGCCTTGAGCCCCTCCCATGGGGCTGGCACCATGTCCCAGGTGTGCCACACGAAGCACAGTTTACATTGGCAATGATCAATGAAGAAACTGAGGCTCAGAGAGTAGAAGTAACCCTCCTGTTTCAACCTTTTTTTTTTTTTTCTTATCCTCACCTGAGGACATTTTTTTGCATTTATCTTCAGATAGAGCGGGAGGGAGAGAGAGGAAGAAAGAGAAACATCGACCTGAAAGGGACACATCAAAGTGGCTGCCACCCGAACTACCCAACCAGGGCTGGGGACAAACTGCAACCGAGGTAAGGGCCCTTAGCGGGAACTGAACCCAGGACTCTCTGGTCCGCAGGCCAATGCTCTAACCGCTGAGCCAAACTGGCCAGGGTTGGTTCAACCATTCTTAAGTGACAGTAGTCTGAATCCAAACCCCACACCTTGCCCACCACACCATATAACTTCCAATGCAACCATATACAAAGCTTCCTCAGAAATGTGCTATTTTTATTTCAATGAATATTTCACAATATATGAATAAAATGTAACAACACTAAAACTGCACTGCTCAATTTGCCCCTTCTGGTATCCCTGACCAAAATTTTGTCATTTTGAAAGTACTAATTACCATGCTATTTAATATAAAAATCTGTCTTTTTTTTTTAATCCTCACCCAAGGATTTTTTTTTTCCATTTATCTTCAGATAGAGTGGGAGGGAGAGAGAGAGAAACATTGACGTGAGAGAGACACATCGACCAATTAGTTGCCTCCCACACAACCCTGACCAGGGCCAGGGACCAAACCGCAACAGAGGTATGTGCCCTTTCCCGGAATCGAACCCGAGTCTCTTCCTGAGACTCTTTGGTCTACGGGCCGACACTCTAACCACTGGGCCAAACCCACCAGGGCAAAATCTGTCTTTTTTTTTTAGAATAGTAAATGTAGCCCTGGCCAGTTTGGCTCAGCGGTTAGAGTGTCGGCCTGCGGTCCAGAGAGACCCGGGTTCGGTTCCCGCTAAGGGCATGTACCGTGGTTGCAGTTTGTCCCCGGCCCTGGTTGGTCGTGTGGGTGGCGGCCACTCGATGTGTCCCTTTCACATCGATGTTTCTCTCTCTCTCTCTCTATTCCTCTCTCCCTCCCACCCTACCTGAACAACAACAAAAATAAAAAAGAATAGTAAATGTATCACCAGGTCTAAATCAGTATGTACTAAGTTACAGCAGCAAAAGTAAAATTCTTAGCTAAACCACATTAATTTGTAGATATCTCCTACTTTTTCATTTTAAATAATTATTTGTTGCCCAGCTGGTTTGTCTCAGTGGATTGAGCACTGTCCCATGGACTGAGAGGTCCAGGTCCAATTCCAGGTCAGGACACATACGTGGGTTATGGGCTCGATCCCCAATAGGGGGCGTGCAGGAGGCAGCTGATGGACGTTTCTCTCTTATATGGATGCTTCTCTTTCTCTCTCTCTCTCTCTCTCCCCCCACTCCCTCTTTCTCTAAAAAATAGCAATAAAACATTTAAAAAAGACACCCCCCAAATAAATAATAAACAATTATTTATCAGACACAGGCAGAGACACATTGCTCTCATTTATAGGAATAACCCAACTTTTAGAAGGCTGCAGTCTGGGTGGCCAGAACTCTCAGCAGGATGTTCCAGTACTCAAGGCTCCTCAAGACAGAATTTACTGCTCCAGAAGCGCCCCCCCTATAGCTAATTACACATCCAAAGCCACACAGGAAGCTTGAGTTTCCTTTACATTATTGAGGATATCATATAATTAAAGCCCACTGAGGAAAACAAAGATCCATGTCTTACCTTCCACATATGGTACATAAAATAGTATTTAAAAAATCAAACCACAGACACTTAAAAATGGAAAATATCTTGGAAGTTATTTACAGGAAACCCCACATGCAACATCACTGACAAAAAAAAAAACCTAGTTATAAGCAAGCATCTGCTGTTGGGAGGATAATGATTACTAAAAAGCTATGAAGCAAATCATTTACTCAACATTCACTGGACACTTATTTTGTGCCAGGGCAAGCCAAATACCAATTATCTGAGAAGCTAATCAGACAAACAAGGCATAAATAAATAAATACATGGATATATAAAGATGATTAAGAAAAAATACCTACTTTCAAGGAGCTTATAGTCTAGTGGAAAAATCAGATACATAAATGAATAAATTCTAATGAAAAAATGAGGCAAGTACAGTTGACCATTGAAGAACACAAGGGTTAGGGGCACCAACCCCACATGCAATAACAAACTGAGTATAATTACAGTCAATCCTCCACATCTGTGGATTACCACTCAGATGGAAAGTTGACCCTTGAACAAAAGAGGTTTGAATTTCGTGTTAATAAATTAAATAAAAATTGAAAAAATTCTGTGTATAAGTGGACCAGTACAGTTCAAACCCATGTTGTTCAAGGGTTAACTATGTGTGTGTTCAAGCACAATGGGAGAAGAAAGATCTAGTCCCAGTTCTGCTTTTGGGGAACAGGGTGGGAGGTACACCTACTCACAGAGGTGTGGGAAAGCATGGGCTAACCTGAGGAACTCTATGGACTTGGGTCTGGCTAGAATACAGAAATGTCAAAGGGAGGACTGGTGAGGAAGGGCCTGAGCAAGATGGGCAAGCCCTGGCTTTTGTCTGACACAGGAAAGCAAATCAAAGACGAATTAAAGGCAATGTGGCCATAAATCAAATTTGTAGTTCCTAAAGATGAACCTGGTGCTGTTGAGGATGGACTGAAAGGGCAAAGAATGGGGCGGGGGCTCAGGTACGAAGACACTGCAATGGCATCTCCTTCCCTGTAACTCCTTTCTTCTAACCTGAATCTAAACTCTACGCTCAGAACAAAAGTACCACAACTCTTCATCCCACAACTCTCCCACATCTGAAGACCACTACAGTGCTTCTCTAAGTCTATCTTCCTCCCTTGTCAGACCCATGAATCCCCAGCCACCCTTCCAGATTCCACACGATGTGTCCACTGGCTTCATGGCATGTGAGATACCAGATACCAGATAGATCTGGTCTGGCAAGCACAAAGTTCAGCATGACTATTACCTCTCTCTATCTAGACACCGAGCTTCTCTTAACTTAATGTAAGAAAGACCCTTGGCTCTGACCGGTTTGGCTCAGCGGTTAGAGCGTCGGCCTGCGGTACAGAGAGACCCGGGTTCGGTTCCCGCTAAGGGCATGTACCTCGGTTGCAGTTTGTCCCCAGCCCTCGTTGGGTCGTGTGGGTGGCAGCCACTAGATGTGTCGCTTTCACGTCGATGTTTCTCTCTCTCTCTCTCTTCCTCTCTCTCCCTCCCACTCTGTCTGAACAAAAAATGCAAAAATGTCCTCGGGTGAGGATAAAAAAAAAAAAAGAAAGAAAGAAAGACCCTTGCTTTTCTAGAAGCTACCTAATACTTGCAAGTCTTTTTCAAACAAACTGCTGCTAAACTAAACATTGTATTACGAAAAATTTCAAACATACAGAATTGACGAATGTATACAGTAAACACCCCCACTTTTCTCTTTTCCATCGTTCTGTAATTTATATTCTGAAAAAAAAGTATACCTGTATCTGTTAAAATTTTCATTTGGTCAGATTCAACTCAAGGTCCCAGCCTTTGGGATATTTTTAAATTCTGACTTTGACTTGATATCCATTAGTTCTCCCTCTAACTAGCACTGTCTTCAGTCTAAGTCACTTGTCCACTCAGGATCCTCATCTACAATAAAAGGAGGTTGGATTCTAAGGATTCTCAAAAGTACTTTTGAACTCCAAAAACCTTCTAACTTAATATAATTCATGTACCTTCTAGTATATTACATATACAGGACAAAGCACTAAGGCTCTGTGATGTACCACCAGAACCTCCCTCCAGGTATCAGAGCAGTAGTAGCACAGTGTTGAACTTACAGTCAGGAGAGCTAGGTTCAAGCTCCTGCTTTGACATACAAGCTGTGTGATGGGCAAACCACTCAAATCACTTCATCTCTTTGGAACTTTGTTTCTTCTCCTATGAAGAGTTGATAAAACCGAATTTACAGAATTCTTATACAAAATAATATATGTAAACCAAGAAAAAGAACAAGAATCCTGACATACTCATTCCAGAAGTTATTACACCAGAGCTCAAATGTCAGAAAAATAGTACAACAATCCAAGATCAGGGATGGCAATTTATTTCAGTGATTAAGAAACTCCACCCTCCCAAACCATCCATCCATGAAAACATACCAATTGAGCTTCAGAAATAATGCCAAAAAGACCTTAAGAATTTATCTTAACTGTCTGATATTGCATCGAGAAGGATCCACCGAATGGAGAACATAGTTTGCTCTAGAAACCACATGGAAGCTCTGAAGCCATCCTTCTCAGAGAAGCACCTTCAGCCCTGACAGGGTCTGGGACAGGAACCCTTGTGGCACTACAGGGGTGGTCCCCAATTTTCCCTCATGTAGTCAAACCAGGATCTGAATACTATCACTACTTCTTCTTTTGAACTCCTTCTATTCACCTCCAGTTAGAACTATTTTTTCCCTCAGTTATATAAAATGTATTACTATTAAAACTATTTCAATGTAATTGTTATTTGATATTTTTAAATCCACCGTGCTTATTTATTTTGTTAATCCTCACCTGCGGATATTTTTCCACTGATTTTCAGATAGACTGGAAGGGAGGAAGGGAGAGAGAGAGAAACATTTATGGGAGAGAGACACATTTGATTGGCTGCCTCCTACACGCCCCCCTACTGGGGCTTGAGCCCACACCTGGGGCATGTGCCCTGACCAGGAATCAAACCAGCATCTGTCAGTCCATAGGATGATGCTCAATCCACTGACCCACACCAGCAGGGCTCATTGTGCTTATTTAAAGAACCAGTATCTGGGAGACTGCCCCACCACATCTGATCAAATCTGCATCACAGTACAAGTTAGTAAACTCTCTGAAATCTCAGTTTCCTCATAAGTAAAATGGGCTGGAAATCATACCACTTATCTTAAAAGAATGCTGAGAGGATTTAAAAAAATAATGAACCTGAAATCCTTAGTAGGGAGGCAGCCCACAGTAAAGACGGAATAAATGTAAGCTATCATAATTTATAGAACACACACTACATGCCCCAAGTATGACTAATGCCTATTAAAATAAAAGCAGCAACTCAAAAGACACTTTGTAAGAGAAACTCTTTATAATAAGAAATGACTAAAGATTGTTTTTACTTACTCCTTACATTAAATTATATACTGCGGTGCACAGATGTCAACAAACAACACTTGCTTCTGGTTCTTTCCCAATGAAAATTATATATCAGGAAATACTGAAAATATACAGTAGGGAGTTCACTAGAACAACAATCAAGAGACCTGGATTATGGTCACAGGCCTGACGTCTGCATGATCAAGTCATGCTAACTCTGAGCCTCATTTATAAGGCAAGGAAGATGTGTTAGGATCTTTCTTTCAGAAATTCAAGTATTTTATTTTACAATTTGTGCTCTCAGAACCAGGAATTTTTAAAAAAGGAAATGGTTTATTATGAGTTTTTATGCCTATCCATATCCTATTAAAACTCCCAAAAGCATTCTGACCCAAGCAATCCAAATACATTTATCGTTCTTATTTCACAAACTCCATAGTTAAGATGTAGGGATAATGTTAAAATTGTAAACTAAGAACAGACTTAAAACACCGAGAAGGACTCACATAGTCAAGGGAAAACCGAAATTTAGCAAATTAGCTGCATTAGAGTCAGTAAATAAATGTTGCTAAATGAATCAAAACCAATACCCAATCTGATAAAAGAATGTGTACACAAAAAACAAGCAAAACATTAAAAGGATTAGATAAAAAGTGCTTAATTAAATAAATCATAATGCATGAGACTGATCCTATACTGAATTCCTCAACATATACATGTTTTTAACCTTATCATTGTGAATTATAACACACAATCAGAAAAATGCATTTAGCCCAGCTGGTGTGGTTCAGTGGATTGAGGGTCGTCCCATGGACTGAGAGGTCCCAGTTCGATTCCTGATCAGGGCACATGCCCGGGTTGTCGGCTCAATCCCCAGTGTCAGGCATGCAGGAGGCAGCCGATTGATGTTTCTCTCTCATATCGATGTTTCTCTCTCTCTCTACCTTCCTCTCTCTCTAAAAAACCAATTAAGCCCTGGCTGGTTGGGCTCAGCGGTAGAGCATCGGCCCCGAGGACCACTGAGTCTCAGGTTCAATTCCAGTCAAGGGCATGTACCTTGGTTTCTGTTTGTCCCAGCCCTGGTCCGGTCATGCAGGAGGCGACCAGTCGATGTGTCTCTCTTACAATGATGTTTCTCTCTCTCCCCCTCCCACTCTATCTGAAGATAAATAGGAAAAAACATATATATATATATATGTATATGTGTGTGTATGTATATAAAAATTTGTTAAAATTTTTTTTCCTTTATTTATTTTAGAGAAAGGAAGGGAGAGGGAGAGAGAGATAGAAACATCAATGAGAGAGAACATCAACTGACCGCCTTCTGCATGCCCCCTCACTGGGGATCGGGCCCACAACCCGGGCATGTGCCCTGACCAGGAATCGAACCAGTGACCTCTTGGTGCATGGGTCGACGCTCAACCACTTAGCCACACCATCTGGGCGATATTTTCTCATTTTTTAAAGACGGATTTAATTTCATGCCAAAATTAGGCATGAAATCCTCACCTGAGGATATTTTTTCCATTTTTTTTTTGAGAGAGGGGAAGGGAGGGAGGGAGGGGGAGAGAGAAACACTGATGTGAAAGAGACAGAGTGATTGGTTTCCTCCTGCACATGCCCCGAATGGGGCTGGGGACCAAACCTGCAATCCAGGTATGTACTTTTGACCTGGAATGGAACCTGTGACCCTTCAGTGCATAGGTGGACATTCTAACCACTGAGCAACACAGGCCAAGGCTGATATGCACATTTAATAGTTGTACCTGTTTCCAGAAATCAATAATGCAAATGACTTACTGAGGAAAAATGGCATTTAGATCCACCTCTCCTCCATTTCAACCTCCAGCCCTGTGAAGAAAGGTCTTCACCCATGTCCTCTCCTTATTCTAGGGGTGCACTCCCCTAACCACCTTTATGGTCACAGAAGGAGAAAAAAGAAGCTCCTCATCTCATTGTCTTTCTGTAGGCCTATAGTATCTTTTATGCCCATCTTTGCTGATCTGCTTTTAATACTAAAGAAATATGCCATAAAAAAAAGAGAGAGAGGGAAAAAAGAAGCTCCTCCATGATTTCCACCCTCTTTCTCTTACAACTACTCCTTTCATGCCTGGCCACATTCTGTAAGGGGGCCTGCAAGTGAGTTAACACAAGAAAGGCCATGCTGTTCAACCATGCCCAAGTGGACACTAAAGTTAGCTATAAGGAAGTGATGGTGAGCCAGGCAAAGACAGCTCCAAGTGGAAGCACAGAGGTAAAGTCAGGCTGCACTAGAATGGGATGAAAAGTTGAGTAGGAAATGAAAGAGAAAGAACTTTTCAAAAATTTGGCTTTGTAAGCCCTGGCCAGTGTGGCTCAGTTGATTAGAGCTTCAGTTGCAGGGTCGTAGGTTTGATCCCAGCCCGAGGTTGGGCGCATAAGGTAGGCAACCAATCTCTCTCTCCCTCCCTCCTTTCCACTCTATCTAAAATCAATGGAAAAATATCCTCAAGTGAGGATTAACAAAATAAATAAACAGCCTAGCAGGTATGACTCAATGGTTGAACATAGTGCCATGCTCCAAGAGATCACTGACTGTTCCATTCCCTATCAGGGCACATGCCCTGGTTGCAAGGCTCGAGCCCCAGCAGGGGGCGTGCAGGAGGCAGCTGATCAATCGATGTTGATGTTTCTCATAGATGTTTCTATATCTTTCTCCCTCTCCTTCCTCTCTCTCTAAAATAAAAATTTTAAAAAAATTAATATAAATAAATAAAATTTGGCTTTGTGAAAGCGAGTCAGAGAGTAATGAAGAGACTGAGACACTGCCAAAGTTGCTGTTGTTTAAATACCAGAGCAAGCAGCCTGGAGACTGCCAGCTGGCCAGTGGGGAAGGCCCGCGCTGCACCAGCACATTTGATTTTCATAATCACCCTACGTGGCTGGGAAGGAAGAAGAAACTGAGGCTAGCAGCTTGCCCAAAATCTGAGCCCTTTCTTATAAACTTCAACTACTGATAACAGGATGCTAGAAAAAAGGAGTTAATTATCAAGCAACAAAAATTCAAAAGCACAACTCCATTTCCACTGGTTCAGGCCACAGAAAAGCTCACTAATACTAAATTATTATTTTTCTCTATTACTCCACAAGATTTAACCCTAGGAAATATTTATAAACAACTAGAAGCTCCCTGGATTTTTCAAACTTAGAACCATAAATCTTCTCCCTTCTTACCACCTTCCAAAGAATAAAAAAAAACCCCTAATCTCATACCAAGATCTCTTCAGATCCATTTCTGGAGATCTCTTTGTAATACAAGCTGCTAAAAGGCTGTTAAACTACTAACAATACTTAACATTCCAGACAAGTGACAAGGCTGGAAAAGGACAGCCTGAAAGAATTTCTGGCTACAATACACAAATAATTATTCCAGATTTAGTCCAAAACAAATTGGTTCTCAAAGTTCAAAATCCCAGAATGCAAGAAAATTTGAGTCTCCTCTGGCCACTCCCTCCTCAGCCAAGGTTTCTGAATATTTATAAAAACAAAATGTTTATTCAGGATCCTTGCAAACCATGGCTTTATGCTCAGATTTTTGGCAGCCAGTTATAAACTTGCACAATACTGTATTCATAAAATTAACTGTTGGCCATATTTTAATTTAAAACATCAATTTGATATATTTGTATATTTATAACAAACTCTGATCTGAAATACAAAATAATTTTTTTTTTAGTCATTGAAGGGTATCACTAAAAACCCTTTAAAAGTAATAACCTTAAAATTTTAAGATGAGCTCCTCTGAGCTCATGAGTTTTTTTTGGCCAATGGCACAAAGAACGTCTTGCTAAACCAAACATTCAGTCCTCATTTATGTGAGGAGGTAGGTATGATCATCAGGTCCACGGTAAAAAGGATAACCAGAGCCTTCACAGACCCAGCTACAGCAGGGGTCTGAAGAGGTGTAGCTCCAAATCCCATGCCATTCCACCACAGC